TGTAAAGTCATTGTAAATAAATAAAGTTATTTGTTCTGAACGTTTTGATTGAAAATTTTTTTTAAATTTTTTTGTGCATTAACCGTATTAACTATCACTCAAAAGTTATCACTGTGCAATGTAATGCCCGCCTTGTACAAGGCCGGGCCCGCCTAATTGATGATGTGATCCTGAGTTGGTTGCTCCTGTAGGATATTGATGATGTAGTTGCTGCAGTTGTGCAGGATTTGCGGCGCCCAAACCGGCCAGAGAGCCAGGGTTTAGCCCGCTTGCACCACCGACTGTTGAAGATAAATTTCCTAAATTCATAAGATTTGCCATATTCATTGAGCTTGATGCAAGATTTTGTTGGGCGGCAGCAGCTTGTTGTAAGCTTGGTGTTGATAGTGAAGAAAGACTTGATGAAGACGATGAACCACCCATTGAACTTAGCATCGTAGGCCGTTCCTCTAAGGCTTCGTACATAAGAATGTATTCTTTTTTAACCTTCTCCCAAGTACTTGGATCGAAGAAGATATAATTTCCGCGTTCAAAAGCTTGAGTTTTCGTAAATGGTTCCGTTCCTTGCTCTTTTGTTAACCAGAGACGAAGATCTTTATGATATCGCCAATTGCGGTTATATCTACCACAATCCGCATTAGATAAGAGTGATAATTGTGTACAAAAACCAAAAGCTATAGTAAATATCAAGTTTCACGTGAAAAAGACATTAAAAAAAAATCCCACCTAATCGAAATATCTATTTATGTAATTATTTGATACCCCTAAATATAAATTAAATGGCAAACTCACAATTCTTGTGCAGCAGCCTCCTGTAATATATCTCGAGGCATACTATAAAAAATATAAAATAGCGTCTCGTCCGAAAATGACCCTATTTTTGATTGCGCTGGTGGTGGTGGTTGCACGTTGTAACATGACGGTAAATGATATTCAGGCTCAATTAACCCAACAGCCTGATTATTTTCTGACCATGGTGAAGTGAATGTCGCATAGAGTGCACTACAAAGCGTATGTTTCAAAAACAAAGATGTATATAATACATAGTTAATATAATGATAGTAATAAATACATTAAATTGCGTTATATCTTCCAATTTTTTGATTCCAAGAACATTTCACCTCTTTAAGAATCAAAAAAAATAAAAATAAAATAAAAATAGAAAAAAAAAAATAATAATAATACAATAATTGTTTCAAACTTATACATACTCCGGCGAATTTAAATTTAATCCTAGCGTTGTAAGATCACTCCCTAACGCTAACATGCTTAAATCAGGATCAGTCATTCTTATTACACTCAGTAGGCCAAGCAATCCGAAACCATCAGCCGATGCTAGACCAGCTGTTGAAGATGACGGATTTAACGAAGGACCACCTACGGATGATTGTAAATTTGATATGCCTGTTGACGAGGGTAGCATACCCATTAAGGAAGATGTTGAATATGGCGTTGTTGAGGTGAGAGGTCCAGTTAATGAGTACGGTATCATCGAAGAGGATGAAGAGGGAAATTGTTGTAAGATTTGTACAGTACCTCCAGCTTTTGCAGAGTAGTTCTAAAGCGTTTGAAAAAAAAAAAACGGGCCAAATAATTCGATATTGTAGCCGAAACATAATTGTTCAAATAAATAGATTAACATAAATTTTTCGAAGTATTTTTTTGAATAGGCAAATTAACATAATTTTTCAAAAGTATGTTGAATAAGTAGATTAATATAATTTTTCAAGATTGATAGATTAAATAATTTTCAAGAGCAAGTTGAATAGGTAAAATTATGTTAGTTGAATATGCAAAATTATATTCATTATTTTATATATAAATGGATTAATCTAGTGTAATAACACACCTTTTTGTCCTGTTCGGACACAGAATTAATTGGAGGATGTGGGGGTGGTCTAAGTCCGCCTGAATGTCATTAGAGAAGTAAATCTTAATTCACATACTTTTGAATAATTTCTAATGTGCAAAAATCAAATGATTGGGTAACATTATCAACTAGCAGAATTATATTATGACATACCAACGCTCATCCGACTTTCCTGAATTCCGGATGCTGATAAGCCTGTTGAGATATTATTTCCATTATTCAATCCATCGATATTATTTTGTTGATGATTGACAAGATGATGTGATACTGGCTGTGAACCAACAACACCACGATTCGCTACACTATTTGATGCACCAGGTAAAGCTGGAAAATCATCAATCGTGAATTCCTGTGGCGGTTGTTGCTGGTGTAGTGGCCTGCTGTCATTCAAAACAGAATTTGAACCTGCAGTGTTGGCATAGCTTGATCCAAGACCGCTCGCGGATGCATTATTCGAAGCTGCGTTAGTACTGCCTAAAGCCGGAAACTCAGACATATCCAGTAAGTCATTTTGTGAAGGATGTACGCTATGTATCGAGTTTGGATACGATGTAAAGTTTTGCCGTGATGGGATACTCTGAGAAACTAGAGAGGAGCCTGGAGTATAATTCCAAGATGCTGCATTTGATGATATATAGTGTGATATATAAATTATATGAATTTTAAGTGAAGCAGCCAAATTAATCC